TTTTGCATTCCCATAAATCCAGTTCACAAGAGAGAATGGTCTTGAATTTGTCTATCTAACTGTTTACAGAGGTAAGTTTGGTGGAAAAACTACTAGAAAAACTCATCGAACAAGACACTCATTTAACCAAGTAAACTGTAAATGAAATGCCACAATGGCTGTCTCTATTTCGAGCTAATTTCATATACCCATCTTCGCCCCAATCTCGGCCCCAACTATTTTTTATTATCCAATAATCTCCCTGCAGTTTATCATGGCCATATCCAACGATGAGTACTGTATGCATTCTTCCTTCCCAACAGTTCTCTTCGTAGTATACGCCTCCTTCGTACAATTCGAACAAATTTTCAAGAGCATACACGCCAGCAACCAATGGTCCATTCGAATATAGTACTTCTTTCATTGTTTCTTCATCATTTTTAACCTGCTTAATATCTTTGATTGCATAAAATTTGGTGCGTTTTATGCTTTTGTCGCATTTACCGCTCTTGGCAGTGTATGGATAACTATCCGCTAGACATATGCCATTTTTTCGTACAAACTCCAATCCCAATTGTGGAAAATTGCCTGTTCTACATTTATCTTCTACTTTTTTTGCCATTTGGGCATAGTCGGAACAATCGAGTAGGTACTGTTGCGATAGTCGAACCAAATTTCCAGTTTTAATTTTATAAAATGCTTCCAATGCCCCCGCGACGGCGAATGTCCAGCATGATGAACAGTTCCCTTGGAGTCCAACTTCTGTTACAGCACCATGCTCTCTCCAGTCAAAGGATGCGGGTGCTTTCCGAACTTTTTCCATCACAAACTTTTTGGTATTTGTCGACAGATATCTGCAACGATAAAATATTCGCATAATTGTTTTGTCATCCTTGGTGAAAATACAAGATTTTTTTACATACTCGTTCATTATATGCTTAGGTTTGTATAATAGAGCTAAGAGTTTCCTGGCTGCGGGGTTCACCTTCATTTTGAATGAAGTCTTTCCTTTCTTAAATGCTGCGTTATGCTTTTGGACAATTTTCAATAGTTCTTTTACAGCTTTGCTGTCCTATTTTGCGGAAATAAGGTGGTCATATATAAAAATTGTGTCGATTCTGAAATGACCTTTAAATAATTTCTGTTTTTGGCTCTATTTATTGAGCGGTCCAATTCAATCGTGCAACATTTTCCCCGTACATAGAGTTCGACAATTTTTCGCATTGAGAAAATCGTTGACGATTGCAGTCGGCCGCCCAGAAAAAACAAAATATTAATGGACATTTCTTGAGAAAGAAAATGGATTATTCCAAGTCATTTTTTTTGGAAAATTTATGAAATCTTACGTCTCCATCTGTGTTTGCGGTGTTGATCACAATCACCAAAGCAAAGAATAATATCAATAATTTCGCCATACTGTTTGAACCGAGAAGAAAAAATCATAAGATAAATTTAGTTCTAAAACTTCTGTGAGCTATACTCATGAATGAGCAACATTTGACTCGTGTTTTAGATTTTTCGTTCTTTTGCTATTGAATGTTTTTTCGAGCAAAGTGGCCAACTTAACAGTCAATATGTTTGGTTCAAAGATTGACAAAGTTTTATTATTTTTTCTATGAAACATATTAGAGTTGATGAAAATATTTCTGATAGTTTATAAAATTGATTGAATCGAAGAAGTTAGTTAATAGTTTCACATAGCTTTGGAAGATTAAAATATTTTTTTTTGCATATAGAAATGAACTCACTTAGAAAAATTAGAAAAACGACAACTTGTATACAAATATGAAGACAAATGAAAGAAGACTCTTCAATAAAAAAAAATATTCGATTCAATATGCAATATGGAATATATGAAATAGAAAATATCTTCTACGGAACCTTTGTAAATGAATTTCCAATTCGATACTGAACAATTTCTATACCTTGATATGTGTTTTCATCAAATTCTACTGTTCGCAAGAATTCGGCAATGCAAATTAAATTGAATGATATTTAAATGTAAGTTATAAAATGTAAATGCAATTCAGAGAATTATTGTTCATCAAGCAACAGCGTGTGTCAAGTAATTCCAACACATTCATCAATATGTCTTGAAAATGAGAATGTACATATGTCAGTCCTTGAAAATACGTTCTGACTTTTTGAACACATCATCTATCTAGTCATCTATCAAATGGTCTCCGTAGAAGGGGATTCTATTCAGAGCACTCAGAGCACAGTGTCCATTTTTCGGCATCTTCCATTTACCGAAAAAAAGTTTGTTTTTGTTGTACCTAAAAAAACAAATAAACTGCATTTTGTTGCCCCACTTCGTATACCTTAACTGTGAATAATAATAGAATAACAGGTGTTTTGAGACATAATGTAAAGGTCACAATATCGTATGGATTACCCAAATATAGTTCTCAATCGACTTCAATAACAAATTCCAAAATTCAAAATTCCAAAATAGGAAAATTCAACTTGCCACAGGTGACAGTTGTCCAAACATCTCGTGCTAATATTTACGTAAATTTATAAATTTTTCCTAATGTTGTTTGTTTTCCCGTGTGGAAAATTTTTGACTGACTAGTTAGTCGATTAATTTGGGACATTTTGACTGACTAAAAGTGATTGTCTCGAACAAAATAAGCAACTGCAGTTAACTTTAATCACAAATCACTCTTAGTCAAAATGTCACAAATTAGTCGACTGACTGAAAGTATAACTAAACGTGATTGTCAATACAAAACGCATGTTTTCAATCAACTTAGCCAGTTTTAGTTGTGTACACTACATACAGTTATATACAACTGAGTGACTGTTAGTCATTTTATTTGCACACGGAATTGTTCTTGTATTCTTGAGATGATGAATGTTTCGTACTTTTGTTATCAACACAATGATCACATCAGAGAAAACATTTTAAGTTGATTGCCATCAACAAAGGGGAATTGACTAAATAGAGCAAATCTGTTGCGGCATCATGTCAAAATAGACAGTTTCTTAAAAAAAAATTCCCGTATGCAACAAATTGGCTTTGTATTGGAATTATTCCAATGTAGAGAATGTTCTCGAGTATATCTTGAAATAATTTATTTATTTCGACCGATAAACGGTAACTATCTTCTAAAAAGTTGTATAGCTTGACAAGACCAACAATTTTTGCGAAGATCCCAGTTTATGGCAGATAGCTGAGGATATATGCTGAGCATAGAAATTCAGAAAACTGAGATGGGGAGGTTTTTTATTTCTCCAG